GTAGTTTGAATGCAGGTATCAACAGCTTTATCATCTGCTAAAGTGTGTAGTGGAAGCAGCAGCTTCACACTGAAGGGATCTGCATACACAGCAGATTTAGTTGTAACTAAAACATCCCTGTTCAGGAAGTAGATGTCTTATTTAGTCCTTTCCAAATTAGTGTGAAAGTGCACTATCAATCACAGCTGGTAAGAAAAATTCTCTTGCTTTCAAATGTCCCACCCAGAGTACCAGTAGATTTTTTTTTTTCATTCTTTGTGGGGAATTAAATGTACATAGGAAAATACAGTACTGTCAAAGTAAAGATAGGCATTGGGGCCACAGCACATGCTCCGTCCTCCCATCATTACTCCAGTATATGAATAAATGGCACCTGTTTCCCCTCAATGTACTATGCAAATACACTGAATCCTTGAAAGCAGGGACAGAATCCTTTTCCCAGCCAGATCTTAGTATTCCACTTTGGACCTGCTTAAAGTGTCTGTAAAAGCGTCTCACATAGGGCAGAGTGCCCTTTCCACAACTGCTTTACCTGTGAGCAATTAGGGAACTACGTGACTTCTGCAGTGCAGAAAGCCTCACAGCATCTCTTTACGTGGTGGTGCACTTCATTTAACGAGCTGTTTCCACTGTAGTATCAATCTAGCTCTCATCTAACGAAGCAATTATTTTATACACAATCAAAAAGCACATGAAGAAACTATACCAAAAAAAAAAAAAGGTGCATCAAGAACTTTTACCTCAGATGCTTACTTAAAATACCCCAAAGTTTAAAACTAAGGTTGAATCTAAGCAAATACAGCTATTACTGGAAGTTAAGAACCAATGTATCTTAAAACTTACAGAACGTGACACTGTTAACAGTGGTTTGAGTTCCAGTTACGTCAGTGGGTTGCCTTTTACTTGCAGCACAGATTTCCAGACCTCTGAACAGAAGTTGTCTTGTCTTGTCTCAGTAGTTGTTAGAAAAATGCTGCTTTGCCATCAATCTAGAAAGATTAGTGCAGGACCAGTACATGGGTTGTTTGGGGGAGAATTGCAGGATTCTCCCTTATTTTTCAAGTTGACTCAGGCACATGACATGAACTTCCAGGACTCAAAAATCCCACAGCCATCTGGTTCAGAATTGGGATTCTATTTCCTCCAGATTCCCAGGCCTCTCGATCTGGCTCTAGGACACCACCGTATCCTCGGTGAAATACACCTATAGATTCAAAGGAAATATTTCAGCATGATTTTAGAGTCCTCTCTCCCACCTCATCACTTTCATCGAGAGTGATGTATATGTTGCAGTAGAAGAAGATTCCTAGGGCTAGAGAAATAAATGAATTATTTTTCTTTATCATATTTTGTAGCTGGCAGAAGTAAAATATTGTATGGAAAAAATCTATTTTCATAATCACTGTGTATAAAATATATTTGAACTTTCACTGAAGCACTATGTTTTGAATAATCACAGCATGTGGCATCATTCATTCACAGCTGAATTTAAGGTACCTCTTTTGCTATGACAAAGCTGTATGAATAGCCCAAAGCGGCCTATTCAGAAATTGCAGGTTTCAGCCTAATTTAAATTGCGTTAATAAAAGTGTGAAATATAGAAGTGTCTTGGTTGTCTTAATTTAAAAACCAATCTCCATCTTACCTGACTTCTAGGGGAAGGACAGCAAGTTAGAAGAGAACGTGACTTTTCACTTTGATAGCCCCTTGTATAAAAATTTAAAAGTATTGTAGCTAAAGTTGCTTTTGCCCTTCAGGAGACCTTGACTGTCACCTTAGCCCAGATTTGGACACAACCAGTGCTTTCTCAAATGGACTACTTTTGTTAACTAAGAAATATCCACGCTTGTGTACTTCATGAGAAAACTGAGTTTTAGATGTCTTTACTTCTACACAGGCAATTTGCACTCAGAATTTTTGCTTTCAAGCACTGAGCTTACCTGCTAGAAAAAAACAGTAAGTGTGCCTTGCGTTGGGATTGCTGCAGTGTTTCCAATACATAGAGAACTTTCATGGGTTTTGGTTTTTTGGGTTTGTTTTTTTTTTTTTTTTTTGACTTGTTCATCTGTAACACTCTTCAGCTTTTCTTTGGCTCCACTTTTGATATTTGCTTAATAAAATAGTTGGAGTCAGAAGTCATTAACCACAATTTACATAAGCATGTGCACTATTTAAAACACTTTTCCCACATTGGAGATTGTCATCACGCAGCGCAAGCAGCTAAACTTCCTTAATAAACAAGTGCTAAAGCACAGGGGAAAAAAAAGCCTATCCTTGACTTAGGGCTATAAAGTGCTCATGATTTTGGTCTCAAGCTCTGGCACAACAGTGATAGCACAAATACAGCACATCTGTGTAAGTGCTGTATAGCACATTGAGAACAAAACTGGGGAAAAAAAAAAAATCTAGTTCTTTCTTCAGTTTCGCACCTCCAATACACATCTTTGGTTGGGAGCGCTGCCTAAAAAGCCTCGGAGACTCTATAGGTTAGGATATAGGATGTGCCCTTCCAACGCTTCTGATAAAAGAGAGGTTTTGATTCTTGGAATGGGAATCCACAAACCCAGGTTTTCCTGACAAGTCCTGGACTTCCACGTAGGTATTTAGCAGCATTTCTGTCCCCAAACCAGAAAAACTAGCGCACTTGAAGGTCTGGGAGCTTTTCTGAGAAATCTACACCAGCCACGCTCCAGTGAAACTCAAGAGAGAGCACTTGATAAAAACTCAGCTTCGCACTGGGATTTTTTTACCAGCCCAGCCTGAAGCACCCCCAGACCTTGGGTCAGGCTTCCATTCAGACTCTGCCTCTGCCAAAATCAGAGTTGTTTGTTGGTTGCCATTACACAAGGCCATAAAACATTTGTGGGCAAACAACACCAGCTGTAATTTTTTTAATTTTTATTTTTTTTAAAAGCCTCCCAGCTCTTTTACATAACCTATGACTGTGGCCTAAAGTTTAAGAGAAGACGTGGCAACAGCTCACCAACCAGTGCAGTTCCATGCCCTTTCTGACGTGCTTTGGTAGGTTAGCTCGGTAGCTGTAACAAAAACCTGCACAGAAACATAGATGTTGAAAGATGTTAAGGGTAGGCTGTCATTAGACCCAGCTTAAAAGGGTGGGTTAATAAAAGGTGCAATTATCGGGCTATGCAGGCCTCCTTCTCTCTTTAAACGTCATCCCTCAGGATGAACAAAATCTTCTATTTACCTTTAAATAACCTTAATTTTTGCTAGGCTCATTAGGGACAGAAGAAGTCTTAGAACACTCTTACAGGAAAAATGTCACTTCTAAAGCGACGTGCCTAAGCTGAAGTAACATTTCTCCCACTGAAACAAACTATTTTCACAGCTTGATCAGTTTATCAGCTAAGTTAAATGCTGGCTACTCTTGCCATGAGTAGGAGGAGCATTAGAGCAGGAAGAATTACTCTTTGCTGGAGTCACTAAATCATCCTTAAATTATTTATTAAGTTACTTTTAATCCATTAATCTCAAAGAGGTCATGGGAGCAGGAAGAGAGGATGTTTGAAGAACACCAAACATGATACATTCAATTGCACATAAAACAGTGCATAGAAAGTCAAAATAGCTGCCAGGTGGATAAAAAAATAAATTACATTTCTGCAGTCAAAATTACTGAGTTTAATTCCTGCATGTAAACAGCTATCAACCTCTTTATAAAACTGCAGTGCATAAACTCTCAAGGATGAAGAGCTCTCAAATTACTTCAATGCATACATTTATACACACACATATATAAAACATCCAGAATAATGTGTCTAGGAGTCCTATTCATGAAAGAGATTATATATAAACACAAAATAATGTCTGGGAGTCCTATTCGTGAGAGAGACTCCATCGTGACAACAGAAGTCTGTCCCCAGCATGTTCACAATCTAACACACTTGTCCCTTTAATCAGTTTAGTACTACTTCGCATTTTATAGAGCAAAGAATATCAAGGCACTTTAAACATTGAGGAGGAGGAGGACTTTCAAAGGAGCAGGCAAATTCTCTGTGCATTTGTGCAAATGTAGGCTCTGGTTTATGCACCAAAGGACTGTTTCCTTCATGACTGATACACAGAGACTAAGTGGAATTCCTCATCCATCTCAACTCCTGCAAGCTGCTCTCAACAAATTCAAACTCACCCAAGAACTTTTAGTTAAAAATTGGAAGCCACTGAAAGAAAAGATTGTGTATTTTCCATGGGGCAACAGCAGTCTGCTAGATTTGAATGTCAGATTTATAGCCTCTTAAAAGAAAGGCTGTTACTTTTATGGGTCTTAGAGAAAACAGCTGAATTTAATAGCTTCACCAGGGGTGTTCCAATTATGTGCTTTACTTCTGCTGCATTAGAGCAATTTTAAGAACAAAAATCACAGCCTGTGAGATAGAATCAGATAAAGTTACCTGCTGTGAAAGCTTTGGTGGTGGGGTGGTTGTATATAAAAAGCAAGATGACAAGCATACTCACAGGACATTGTCAAACAGAGAAGAGTTGGAGTTATTCTGCAACATCTCTCAGCAAGCAGGTAACATGCTTAAACTACATACCATATTGCCTTTTTACATATTCAGTACTTACAGATGCTCATATTGGAAGAGATTTGCATTAGAAGACACTGCAAAAAGTACTTTTTAAGGAGCAGGGATATTAGAACAGAAACTGGCTATACTGAGCACATCTGTCAAATATCAACAGGGACCTTCGTGGAACCTTTGAGGTCCAGACATTCCTAAAACTCTGACAGAGTGTTCGAAAGTCCTAATTTAGATCTTCACCCAAATTTTTGAGATGTTAAATCTCTTTATAATGAGCCAATCCACAGTTTAAGAGGCTCAAAATCCAGCTGTGGCTCACAGGTAGGCACAATGCCACTGGGGTGCAGATGACCAGAACGAGAGATCCAGAAACGTAACATTCTCATAATTCTGGTTATGATAAAAATGGAGCTGTAATGTCATTATGATCAGAAAGATGTTTTATTCTCTCACAGAATGGATAAGTCCAGGAAGATCTTCATCTGTGCCCTTCTGTTCGTCATGTCTGAGGAAATCTGCTTGGCTCAACACTGGTCTTACGGCCTGCAACCAGGAGGGAAAAGGAGTGCCGAAAACCTGGCAGAATCATTTCAAGAGGTAGGTTCTAGACTGTAAACCAGCCCTGTTGTTCTAGCTAGGATCCCTTATCTGTAAAAGATGCAAGCAAAAAAAAAGAGATGACATAGGCTTTACTGTGTATGTGTACACCTGCCTCTTTCCCCTCAAACAAACATATGTATATACACACACACAGTTTTTGAAGCACGAATTGGAAAGTAATTGCCATTAGGGTAAGGTGGCATTTGACAGCCTTGCATGAACAACAACGCTGCCTGCTGCAGAGAACTTGGGCAGCCTGCTCCAAAGGAGAGATGGAACTTTGAGTTCCAGGTTAAACCTGATTTCATCCTCTCCCTAAACTTTAGCCACAAAATGGGCTGGTTTATGACAACATTCATAAACTGAAATTCACTGCCCACTGAGAATGTGGCAGTGGGCAGCTGTCATGTGGTAACCAATTAAATGACTGAGCAGATGTGGAAGGATCTGTCCACCAGTGGTTTTCCCATGCTTTCAAATACTCCATGTGTAGTCCCTCATATCAGCAGTTCCAGCATCCTGATTTCAAGTTGGCTGTAGCACAAACATAGAACGTGGGAAAGAGGTGAATTTAAATTGTGCAGCAGAACAGTTTCACCTTAATTTGTAACTAGGATAGAGCTGCCTTAGCAGAAAAAAATCTTTTCACAAAGGCTGTATCACTTCCCAATTCAGACTGCAAATGAAATGGAGAAATTAGGGGAAGCACAGAAGAGCAAATGCCCCGGTTCGTATCAGCATTCCAGGTTCAGTGATCTGAAGGAAGCCATGGTAAGTAACATGCTTTTTTCTTTTATCACCATGGGAAAACTAGGGGACCGGTCTAGCCTGGGAAAGTACATGGAAGGAAGAGAAAAAAGGTGGTGGGGGAGGAAGAGGCATTAAGTTGAGTTCACACATGGCAATACTGGCTCTGCCCTTATTATCTGCATCGTTCTCAAGTACCTCAGAGTCACAGTCCTAGTTCAGGACTAGCTTATTCTTGATGCTCCCACTGTAGCAATGTCATTACTCACTAAATTAAAAACAAAATAAAGTCAAACACATTCTACCTTAACAAAAATCTATGCAGCATTCACAGACGCTTAACTTCAAAGGTGCACTTTGCCAGCTGAAGGATCGAGCCATATGGAAGCTGCTGCTCCCAAGGTCCCTAGACTGGGAAATGTATTTTCCATTAGATGCTCTAATGCAATGACAGCAGAGACTTCACATACAAACTAACTGCCATAGGAAGAATGCTCTCAAGCAAAAATGTGCTCTTTAACATAGCAACACCTTGATTGGGCCAGATGGTCACCACTTTCCGGAAAGTCTCTCTGAGCTGTCCTAGAAGTTGAAACACTCAATCTCTACTTCATTTTTGAAGCCAAGACCAAAAGAGTTTCAAGTACGCGCTCCAGCCTTTCACTGAGGAACCTGGCCTGAATAACAGCAACGCAGACAGGTCAGAACCTGACTTCCATTGCGCTTTCATGTGGAAACTACCTAAACTCCAATTTTTTTTTTTTAGGTCATCTTTAACCCTATTTGTACTGAATGTAAAACAGAATCTTTGTCTATCACTCTGGCTTCCAATAACACTACTTGCAGAATGAGGAGACAGCAACAGTAACTTAATAGGTTTAGACTTTTTTTTTTTTTTACTGCAAGAGACTATGTTAGGCAGGAAAAGATACCAGAGTAATTGTCAGGATATGAAATAAATGATACTTCTTGCTCATGGAGGAAATCTGGCCATTTTTGCAGAGCTAAAGGCACCCTCTGCCCCAATCAGATTCTTAGGTTTGCTCAGAAACTGCTGGTAATCTTGCATATTAGTGTAAAAACGTGTGAGCTTCTGCATCAAACACTTAGTTTGCAAGTCTTATTCATGTAGCATAGTCTGGACTGTGTGACCTTCTTATTTCTAGCTGCTTAATGACACTGAAAACAAATTAAACTTTTTCCAGATGCAGCTTTTCCCATCTAACACATTCCTGGAGTTGCTACAGAAATATTATGCAATGAAAGGAGAGGTGTCCGGAAGTGGTCCGCCCCATGGAAAAAAATTTCACATTATTTTCATCATTTCCTGGAGAAGCTGGTAGTGAGCACAAACAAAAATACACCTACTTAAGATACAAAAGGGAAAAAAATAACATATTCAGACAGCACATCTATACAAAACACTTTGGGCTTTCAACTCAGAGGTAACAACAAAAATAAATACTCAAGCAGGACACCAGACCGAGCAGGACGTGACACAGGAACATGTTTTCCATTTGAGCAGTACTAAGGTTTACAGACAATGGTAACGGGGCAACTGTGCCCCTCTGTAATGGCCCTGTAATGCTTTTGCAAGCACTGCTGGCTTGTCTCTGGTATCTCAGCCAACTGCTTAAGCTCACAGAGACATTTTAACATACTGATGCTTTGTGCAAGTTCATGCTGCTTGTTCTAAATCGCTGTCAAAGTATAGTGTTCAACAGCTGTTGGGTTGCACTCCAAGATCTGCTGCAGTGGTGGACCCATTAACAGATGTAAAGTTGGTCATGCACTTTGGGATGAAAAGGGCCATTGTAAGTGTCAGTCACATTATACTGTATTATCAGATCCATGGGCAGGTGGCAGAGAGATCACGTTGGGTCAGATTTATGTCATTCTAATTCTCCTTCCAACAGAGACCACAATATGGATATTTTAGCATCTGACCAGGCTTTAAAATTCCAAAGTTTTTTCTTCTCTTTAAAAAAAAGTATATGATGTGTGTTTACAGGAAAGTCTGATCGAAGGAGAAGCTAGACGAAAGAAGATTTAAACCCACAAAGCCAAATGGAACAGAGGACCCAGAATAAAATTTCAAAGCTATGTTAAAAACAATTCCTCTTCAGATGGCCTCTGCTTAGACTGCATTATGTGAATAAATACTCAGAAGCTGCATTTCAGTAGAAGATAATTGTTGCATAGATTACTAGCTTATATGTGCAAGAATACATTCTAGTCCAGCGGTGGGGACTCAACAGCATAGGGTCTGCTTTGTGTCCTGCAATGAAAACTTGGCGTGACAGCTTTTGTTTCACACACCCAGTCAATTCCTGGACAAAGGCGCTGTCTGATCTCACTAGTCTCTGGATAAAACAGTAATACAACTTTGTTAAAAATCAAGAATAAACTTACTGTTGGAACGTAATTGCACTCGCATTTCCGTAGTCCATGTATGAAAGATTTATGCCTTTTTTTTACTAGTTCACTCATAAAAACTACATTTATTTTAAAAAGATATTTACAAACTTTACAGCAGTTAATACATTTTTAAAAAAAAACATGAAAATTTATACACCTTGCTTTACAGACTTAGCGAATCATACGTCATTTACCCAGAGATGCAGACTCCCTTTCCAAAGCGTAGCTCCTACTCTTTCTTCAGAGCCAGTTTAAAAGCTGTGTTTTTTGCTGATTCAATTGCAGAGGACTCAAAAAAAAAAAAAAAAGCAGGTATTTGCAGTCTGCAGAGGTGAGTTTTATAACTATCACATCCAGAGTCTCAAAACACACAAAAACATGTTACACAACATCCATATTCTCCTGAATTCAAGACAAACATGTCCCAAGGTTTATCATGTCATTAAACTTTTATAATACCAAGAATGAAAAACTACATCAATTACTACCATGCATATTGGGGCTGAATTTCAGAGCTGCTGAGGACTTACACCTCTGTTTAAAAAAAAAAAAGATATAAAAACTGCAGACCATGCATGTGAAAAACAGGTTCAAAGTATGCAGTCATGCCTGTCCAGGGATTTCAATGACAGCCTTAAATCAGAACAGACCAATACAGCACAAACAGATGCTTTTCACCTTTTGTTATGCGCCTCTATACTCCTTTGTGTACTCTCCTTAGTGCCCAGGCACTTTAGTGTCCTAAAGATGCTTTAATGTTAATAGAGCAGAATTAGGTCAACTTTGTGTGCTTTGGAAAAGCCCCTCTCCTGCCATCCAATCAATGAAATCGCATATGTTTAATTTTTCTTTCGGATGTAGTCCTAGGAAAAAAACCGCACCCTGGTCCACTAGATAATTTGGTCTGCAACAGTTAATATAAGATAGAGAAGCTTTTAATTAAAAGAAAAAAAAAATGAGAGAAGCTAGCAGTAATGGGTCAGGAATGTTTTCACTACAAAAAAAAAAGATGACAGTTAAATTACAGACATCTTAAACTTATTTCCATTTACAATCATAAAAATAAATAAGGAGAGAAAATCTGAGTCATTATCACTACAAGTCTAACTCACTGTTAATCTGTGGAACATACACTCGGCTGCATAGTGTGAAGGTTATTAGATGCAGATTCTCAAAAACCGCTGCATATACATTACAGTATTTTCCTCCACTGCAGATCACAGAGCTGTTCTCACTGGAATCGGTGTCCTTTCCTAATCCAATAATCCACTGAAATGGAAAGCTGTCTGTTTCTCTCTTCCCCTGATGTGGATTAGAGCCTGTAACATTTTTAAAGGAATTTATCACAGCACGACAAATTTTAATTAAAAGCTCCAGAAAACAAGTGTTGAGCATATTTCTCCAAAGGAAAAAAAAAATCCTCTAAGACTTGAAATTTAAAACTGGCTTTGAACAGCATGGCTATGAAATGGGATTAGAGTTTGTCTTCTCTGCAGACTGGATATTTAACTTTGAGATTTGTTTTATTCAAAATTATGAATTGGGTAGAAATACTGCTGTTTGCCTTCATTTCTGGTATGCAGAGATGACATCATTATGGACTCTCCTCCTACTCCCATTTTTAGCCCTCCAACTTAATAGACATTAGATGACATTTCCAAAAGCATCTAATTAACAGGGAATGATGATTCTCATTTTGAAAACTAAGTAGCAAGACCTTAAATTGTCTCTGAGAATTAAATCTCAGAATTTCAGTCATGTAGGTACCATAGCAAAAACAGAACACACACACACAAAAAAAAAATCAGGGGTCTGGTGGGATTTCTTATAAGACTGTGGGCACTTAATTCCACTTAATTAAAATCAGTCAGGCCCCATGCTTATTCACACACTTGAATGCCCAACTGACTTTAAAAGTGTGACACTTAGAATACGATCCTTTTTTCTAAAACTGGCACGAAGCCCTAAATCATTTAGGCACAGTACAGAAATTCCATCTTGTACCTCTAAGCAAACCATGCCGACTTGTATCAGCTAAGAACATAATTCTCCACATACCAAATTGAATGCCTATTTGCAAGTTAGTTTGCCAAAAGGCAAGAAGGAGAAGCGGGAAGAATTTACAGCACTTCAGACTCCAGAACAAAAATAACACTAAGAAAGAAGAAATTCGCCAAACTTAAACCCCTTTCTGGCACAGCAAGTTTGCCAATGAAAATGCCCAAAGTCTCTCAGGAAGGGAAATCTGCTCCCTCTGTACTCTTTGGGCATCAGCTGCTCCTTTCCTTCTAGTTAGGGTGATGCTTCAGCTACGACAGTTGCCAACCAGCCAAAGGCAGTGAGAAGAAAAGCCTGAACCACGTGGACAGCACACCAAAATAAACTTTAAGGAACGCAGCAGGTGAGACGGTGCAATTGCAAGGCAGAGCATACAGAAAAAGCAGTTGAAGATACTAGTTTCAAGGAGCTGGCTCTATAGTAAAAGCCAAAGATCAAAATTCAAATGAAAGGTCTGTTTAAGCCACTGCTCAAATTACACCAAGCACTGAAGCTTCCCAGGCTTCTGCCAGCACTGGGATGGGTTATAGCAACGACCCTACTCACTCCCCTGACTCTCTGGGTGACTTTGGCATCTTACTAGCTCAGGTATTAGCACCTAGGATCAGCGCACAGGAGAGTCAGCCTATGATCTTATTCCTAATGACTGGCAGCTGCACAATCCAAGGAAGGAAATGAGGGGAGAGGATAATTAACCACTTACATGCTAAGGACTCTGTTCATAAACCTAGTCTATAAACCTGCAAAAAAAAAAAAGCCATCAGAACCAAGTCTCATCAAGTTAAAGAGCGTTATGGAAAGGGTCACTAAAGATCAGCTAGAAAATTCTTCCCAAAGTCAGGACTTCCTCCAGTGAGGTCTTTTTGCATGGACTAGTTCCCCCACTCCGGGGGAATCTGCTGAATGCACAAGGTACATCTAGGAGTTAAAGCAGATCAAAAAGGTAGGGAAATAAGACTCAAAAGTCACTTGGAACCAAAATACCCAAATCTGACAGCTAGTTTGTTTACTCAGACACACAAACCTTTAGCTAGGATTCCTACAGTCTCCTTTGTTTCTGTTGACTTACGAAAGGAGTTAAAAGCCAACCTGCTCTGAAAAGGAAACGCACCCAAGAATGAGGCAACAGGCAGATGTAGAGCGAGGAAAGGCACTGAATTAACCACAGGTGGGGTTAACATGTATTTTTCTACAATTCAGACCACATCCTGCTGTTCTGCTTAAAGCAAAATTCTCCTTCAAGTGAAGAGTTTCAGAGGATCCTTTAGTTCACACATGCAGCAGAAGGAAGACAGTGGTTACAAGAGGAGGAAGAAGCGGACAAAAAAAATGAAAGACAAGAAAACCCTGTGGTTTTCAAGTCAAGCAGCATCGATGTCCAAGAACTTAATGTGGAGCTGACAAGTCCTACAATGCACCAGAGAGTGGGGGTGAACCATGGTCAAGTTGTCCAGAAAGGTTTCAAAGATTTCCCCTGAGAAGGCAAGAGCCCAGAAGACAGTTGCATGTGCGCTACAGCAAACACAACTGCGGATGGATGTGATGTGACTGCAGTGCAACTTCCAAAACATCTCCAACCTGGTTTGTGATGTGAATCTGGTATGACCTTTTGATAAAAGCAATCTGGCTTACAGAGCCATGCAAGCAGCAAGTCAAACGCAGCTTCTGCAGGTTTCTTTAACTGGAGTCACACTGAAGCCAAAGGAATGTGTAAGAACAAAAGAAAGGACTACTTCAGTCTGAACAAAAAAAAAAAAACAACCCAAACCCTAAGGTTTCACTGGTTTTGTTTGTCCCTGAAAAAGGCTTTGTGAGAAAAGCTTTCATTAGGTTCAAACTTCAATTTTTCAGTAAGTTAATGAAACCCATTTAAGTCCTGTGAGCAGAGTAACAGTGCAGTGGCCTGCAAACAAACCCAACCCAACGGTATTTGTATTTACTACTGTGAGCAACATCCTCAGCAGGGTTTTTAGTGGGTCTCCCCAACTTCTACCAGATAATCAGAAGCTAAATGAGTTACAGTTAAGAAGCAAAATTATTTCCTGGAAGAGAGAGTCCATGACAGAATCTTCATCAATACTGATGACAAATAAACAGGCTGTAAGCTGTAATCAAACAGCCAAAGTTCTGTACAGATTCAGAAAAAAACTTGGATCCAAATTCCTCAGCTGGTCCGTCTTTATGATGGGTTTTTAAGAAACTCTGAACTTTCCAAAGAGTTTCAATCTAAACTTTGCAGGCAAACTCCCATGTTTCCCAAGTTCCATAGTGAAAGGGGACAACAACGATGAGTAATTTTTATTCTTTTTTTTCCCCTTCCCTGGAAAACATCAGTGAAAAATAACAGCCATGACAAAAGCTATGTTTCTAAATGTTCTATGTTTCAGTCACACAGACAGGATAGCATGACAAAATATTCTGCCTGAATGTGACAAGAGAATAATTCTTACAAATCAAGAGAACCCTAAACTTCACTGGCTTTTCTGCTGCTGGGAAACATGGCACCAACAGGCAGCTGCAGCTCGGGGGGGGATAAAGAGAAAGTTCCAATTTTGACACTTGACAAGAAAACAGTGA